GCACGGAGTTTTCCCTCCTCCCGGTACAGCTCAATCAGCTGCTTGAGCGTCGGGAGAAAGCCGGCGAAGTCGTTTTCGGCACGACACGTTTTCCATGCCACCTGTGCCTTTGCGAGGAGGCTTTCCCGCTTCTCGATAAACGTTTCCGGGAGAAGATTCTCCAGTTCCCATGCCCGGCGCATCTCACGCAGGTTGCCACGCTGAACAGAACCCAGTTCACTCAATCCCTGTTCCGCACGCTTTATCAGCTCTTCAACCGTTCGGTCTGTGATCAGCTGATGAATCAGTTTCTTTACTTCGGCGACAGCCAGGCCGCGAGCCTCAGCACCTTTGGGTGGCATCATGACACGGGCATCCCACATTGCGAGGCTCAGCATGTGCCTGAACCGGTAGATCTTCGTATTGAGTTTCTCGAGTTCCTTATATGCCTCCATTTTCCTTGGGTAGTTGTTCTTCTGTGCGAGATTTAGACAGCGGTACTTTCTGATAGCTAATAGGAACAGTGGGATAAAGCAAGAGCCAGCAAAGAACAACTAACAAAGGCCACATCATTGGCTAATAAATAATTGTGAAACGCTTCTCACCAATTTTTTTTGAGATGTGTCACCGCTCAGACGTATTTAGCACCTTTACACGAGTAGGGTGATAGTAGTAGTAGTAGTAGTGGTGCAAAGCAGGTTTTTTCTCCTTCCTTTAGAACGAGTGGTGCTTATTATCTCCGACGTAATTTCTGGGGGAAGCGGACTGCTCTCTTGCCGCTCAGCTTCATTTTCCAGCCTTCCTCTTGGCACTGCTCATAAGTTTGGCTTTATTCCCCTTCAAATGGTTGTGAGTCACAACTTCGAGCCGCTGCATCGCCTCGCGCTGATGCCGCTTATTCATGTACTGCCGGTTGAGCGGAACGTACGCGTATGGCGCCACATTACCGCGCCGCACATCTCCCTGGCCAGTACCAACGAACTCCTCGCCCTTACGGATGTCCTCTTCCACACGCGCACGCTTAAGCTCGCGCTTCTCACGTTTCTGGTCGCGTAGCCTCTCAATCTGGTTTGCTCCAGGGCCAACGCGGCTCTCTGCTGCCGAAGTGGCGCGCTGGGCCGCCTCTTTGCTAACCTTGTTGCCGTAGCGCAGGAGGAGTTCATCATTCTCGAAGTCCTCCGTCTCCGTGCGGGTCCGCTTGCCGCGCAGCCCCACTGCCCCTTCATTGAGTGCGTCGGCGTGGATCAGGCCATTGTTGCGGCGCAGCAGACGTTCCGCCATCTCTTCCCGCCGCTTGCGGTCATCCTGCTTTTGCTTCTCCTCGACGGTCATGATGTGCAGCTTGCCGTTGTTGAACTCGAGATGCATGTTGTCAAGTTCGTCGCCACTGTCATCGGCATCATCCCCGGCGAAGAATGACGGCGAGGCGTGCGTGGAGACAAAGTTTGTGAGGGCACCTGCCTGCAGCAAGTCGCGTTCCGCATCGTCCCTTGAGCCGGCCTTCATCGCCACACCAAGGAACAGCCGGTCAAACTCATTCTTCTTCTCACCAACGCGTTTCTTGAGCTCCCGTTCCTCCTTCTTCTGCTCGCGCTTCATCATCTTATGTGTATAGCGGAGGAAATTCTTCGACCCAACAGGAAATATCGGCTCGAGACGCTCAAAGCCAAATCGTTTGATGCACTTCTCCAGCAGCACTCGCATTTGCATGCGTGTGTTGCTGGACACGTGCGGCTGCGACGTCACCAGGGCAATAGCGAGCAGAAGCTTGGACAGTGACTTCTCCACCGCCGCCGCCACACGTGAGCATCGCTTCATCAGCTTCAGCACCATTCTTGCGAACATAGTTGCGGCGGACCTGACGTCTAACTCGGTGGACTCTATCATGCGGATCCCTAACGCAACGGATGAGTTGAGGTCGTCTTCGGGAAGCTCGTGGTGGGTCACATACAGAAGCTTGGCCATCACCACAAGCGTGCTCGAGATCATCCACGGGGTCTTCCCAGAGAAGCCGGCGAGCACTAAATGCAGCAGCGTGTTGACAGGGCAACCGGCGCCGACAAGATACCGCTGCATCTTTTCCACGAGGTCCATCGAAGCGGCACGCGTCTCACTAGAGCGTTCGCGGGAAAGCATGATGGTCTCACCCACCACGGCGCGGATCATTGGGACAAGCTGATCGGGGTAGTACATCTTGCACGCATCAAGCGCCCACACCAGACAGCGCAGACGCATCTTGGTGCCTGAGATTGTGACGTGCTGGCGCCCCACCGTGAGGAGACCGGCGACGCGTGGGAAGAGCGGAAATATGTCCTTGATGCGGTGCTCGAACATGGCGTACAGAAGCTTATATGCCTTTTTCTGCAGCAGACGTGAGTTCGGCGCTGGGTCGAGCAGCACGGGCTCAATAATATCATTAAAGAGCGCCACAACGTGTTCTGTTGGGAGCTGTACAACCACCGCACACGAGATGTCAAGTATCATTCGCCGCTTCCCCGCCAGTGGTGCATGGCTCGCCTTCTTCTCCGCCACAAGATCCTTCTGCTGCGCCTGCAACGCAATGTTCGTGCCGAGGTCGAGAATACCTTTTAAAATGACTTGCATGACTTCAGGAGCGCAGACGCGCGAAAAGCTCTGAATGGCCATTAAAACCGCCGTCGAGTCGTGTTCCTCAAACGTGTTGCAAAGCTTCGGCATGATGTTTGCGCTAAACTTCGAAATGATGTTCTCGCACACATCCTTGGCCATCTCTTGCGAGATGCCGTGGTAGACATGCCTGTTCCACGTAGGGTCGTTTAGCGCAAGGAAGTGAGTGTCCTCTTCAAGGCTGCTCTTCTGGGGCAGGGAACGGTTGCCACGAGCGGCGTGTGGCTCACGTTGATCATCCACGAGACGCTCATCATCATCATCATCATCGCCATCCAAGTCGTCGTCATCATCGTCGAGGGAGGCTGCTGTTGCAAGTTCGTGATAACCGTCGCACAGGACATGTAGCGCTGTGGCGCCCGTGTTGACGAAGAGTGGATGCGAGAGAAGGCCCACCAGCTGCTTCGCAACGTCGCGGAACGAATCCCTCGTGACAATTCGCGGATAGTGGCAGAAGCCGACGCCAATGCGCCAGTACTGCTGCAGCAGCGCCATCCACTTGGTCGCGAGCTCCGCCTGCTGCTGCTTCTCATACTCCAGGGCCACTTTGCGTGTAAACTGGATGAGTGGAAAAAAGTGCTCGACAAAGAACGGCAACGAGTCATGCGAAGCGATGCGACGAAGTACGTTCAGAACGTAGCTGTTGGCCCATGCCTCATCCTCCTCGGCGGCACTGCCGCCCTTCACCTCCACTTCATACGCCCGGCGTGGATCAAACGGGATGATCTCTACAAACTCCCGTACAGACATACCATTCCCCATAGCCACCATCACCCGTTCAATCTTCCCGTTCAGTTTTGTGTCGTCCATGGCGCGAAGTTTGTTGAGGACGCGGAGGAGAAACGGGAATGAGGGAAAGCGCTTAGTGAACGCCACTGCATCACCGGCGGGTGTGCGCTTAAGGTAATTAAGCCGATTTAAAAGCGTTTCGAACAGGTCGAGTGCGTATCCCCAGTACGTCTGGTGGTGCGGCTTCAGCAGCTCCAGCAGCTGGTTTGAAACAATGCCTTCGATCATCTCCCGCCCCTCCAGAGACTCCACAATGTACGGCGACAGCGTACGCTGCAGAAGCCCAGTAAATTCGGCCACTGTGGTCGACACGACACTGACAGGGGCGTCTGTGAAATTCCCGACACAGACTTGCACAAATCGTGGCAGCGCCTCCACAAAGAACTTCTGATTGTTGTTTAGCTTGTACGCACCACTGGTGGCGTCTCTCGTGGGATGCGAGTGTGATAAACCGTCGGTGTTGCAGAGCGCCGCGCACTCAAGTAGTTTGCGGAACGCCACCACATACATCTTCATTGTGTCCACCTGCAGCTTGCTCGGCTCCAGGCGACAAAACACCCGTAGGATCGCCATTGAAGGTGTCTGAACGGAAAGGAGGAGCTGCTGGGCAAACTTCATCGCCTTCACCACGACGAGGTGATTACTCGCCGCATTCTCCGCGATGACCTGCTCCGTCAACGTAATGGCATGCTCCAGTTGGTGCAGCAGCACGCCTTGACTCAGACGTGGGGCGCAGGCTGACATGATTGCGAGGATGTACGGAATGTGATGCTTGTCTGGTGACCGCGACAGTGCGGTGTAGGCGGCCATGAAGAGCGAAAGCGGGGTGACGGCCTCGCCGAGGCCTTGAATAGACTCCACCAGTCCGTCCTGTACGCACTGAAGGGTGTTGTGATCGAACGTCTTGTGTGTCTTTTTGTTCTGCACCGCATGCACACGCCTCGCCACAGCTTTCTTCACCTCTGCCTTGTGCAACTCCGATTGTTGCCGCTTCGCCACAAGGGCCTGGCGCCGCAGCTGCAAGAGTTTCTGCCGGCTCAGGTTAGCACCCTTTCGCGCCTGCTTCAGAGTCACCTTACCGCCGCTGCGGCGCCCCGCCTCTTTCTCGGTGTTTCTAACGGCCATTCGTCAGTGAACGCTGCCTGTGTGTGTGTGTGTGTGCCTTTCCACGTCGTCAGACCAACTAAACAGCGAAGAACAACAAGAAAAGACGGAGTCATTACGAAAGGCAAAGAACCGCAAACGCAACACAAACAAAAGAATCCAGTTTGAAAGGCTACGATGCTGCTAGACCTATACATCAACTCACCCAGGCATGCCCATCGGTTACAGCCAAAAAAAAAAAGTCCAGCTGATGAAACAAAGTGAGAAACAAAATCCCACGCCGTGTTGTGGATTGACTTGATGCGTGTTTTTTTCGAATTCTTAGATGTTCGACCTATCCATTACATGCTCATCCTCTCGGTCAACGAGAATCTTCTCACCTTCCCCGCAAAGCAGTTGCTGAATAACACGCGGGAGGTACGGTGCGAGTCCCTCCCCACCGCTCGACACAAGCGGCGACACCTCCACCGAGACGGAGTCACGCTGCAGCACTGCGAGCGCCGCCGTTGCATCCTTCGCGTCGGCGCCACCAGCCGCAGCGATTGCCTGCAGCGCTGCTGTTAGCCAGCGCTTGTGCAACGCCAACGTGAGTCGTGCCGCCTCTGTCGGCGTGTCGCTCGTCGCACCTTCGGCGTTCTTGATTGGGGCGAAGTCCTCGCTGCGGTCCACCTGCATGATACGGAATCCTCCACCTTGCGCCGAATCACTGCCACATTCTTTGGCGAACTGAAACAGATCAAAGATGAATGCCTCCAGTTTGACACCCATGGTGGGTCCATTAATAGTGGGGATCTTCTTTCGCGCAATGTGGTACCGCGTGAATGATTTCATGTGCTCCGCCGCGACTCGAAGGAAAGGAACACTGCAGACGTTACACGAGATGTTGGCGCAGTTGAAGCGCAGCTCGCCTGTTGCCGAATTAACCTCCTTGGCCCTCTCACCAACCTCAGTGTACTCCACGACGCCCCACTCCCCATCAGCGCGCACAAACACACCAACAGACTCCTCCGGGCACGTCTTGGGGCTGGACTTCACCACCACGTCCACGTGCTCCTTGACCGCAAAGCCAATGAAGATTGGGTCCGCAACCTTTGCGAGCATGTTGTCCACGTTGCCTATCTGCACGTATTTTATGCCCATCCGCTCCATGCGCTGCAGCACGGACTCCTTCTCACCATGTGGCGGCGTTGTTAAGGCTGTGTAAACACCTCCATTTCCACCTGGCGCGAGGCACATGCGACCGGAGGACTCCATGAGGATCTTCCCTGTTTCCTCTTCGTAACACGGAAGGGATAGCTGTTTGAAGAAGTGCACTTGGTCCGGTGAAAGTCCAAAGAACTTGTTCTCAGCGAAGTACTTTTGTGTCTGGGTGTCGTTCTGTGCGGATGTCATCACCAGCAGCTGTATCCGCGCTGACGGCTTGCCCCCAAAGCGTGCCGCTGCCACCTCCTCGCGTCGGCGTAGCTTTTCGCAGTGGATCTGAAACAACGACTTCTTCTGCTGCAGTCCATCGCATGTGAAGAAGCCTTTGGGGGCGTCCGCACCGAGGCGTGTGCCACTACCTCCAGCAAGGATGAGGAACGCCACGTGTCCCAAATGAATGGCCTCGTAGCCTAGCGTCTCCAACTCTGCGATATGACCTGGTTTGCTCCGTAGTTCCGCCGGTACGTCAAGGAGAANTAGCCTAGCGTCTCCAACTCTGCGATATGACCTGGTTTGCTCCGTAGTTCCGCCGGTACGTCAAGGAGAAAATCTTTCGGCGGTGGTTCAATCACTGCAACACTTCCCGTCTTGGACAGCCGGATGCTGTCGAGCAGGACATCGTTAAGGTGGTGAAAATCAACCCCCGGAAGATCCTTAGTGAGCTGCTGGATGAGCGACGTCTTGTCGGCATCACTGCCGTCCCCAAGGAGCGCCAGCAGGTGATCCTGATTCGTGCCAGTCAGGCGAGATATACAATTGTCCAGTTCCTGCATTGCCAATCAGTGGAGTGGAAACTTCTTGTGTATAAGACAGGTGAGCTAACAGAAACAACACTCTGCTCTCCTTGCGTAACTGAATGACTTCTTTGGCCTTGAAAAGGAATCAAAGCAAAACCAAAATAAAAAAAAANGGGGGGGGGTGAAGGAGTGTCCACACCACGCCACACCATAAAAAGGGACAGGGGGCGCGTCGGTGGGAACACATGTTGTGCCATTCCCTCCTCTCCTTTCCATGCAGTAGAAGAAGCAGTTACTGTTGCTCCTGCTCCTCACGCTCTTCCCTTGACAACGACTGGGGGCGCCATCCACCGCGCGTAGTCGTCGGCTCGGGCGTCCGTCGGGAAGCCACTCTCGTCAAGTGAGCGACGCGCGAACGGCATGTAGCGGCCCAGGCGGCGTGCCAAGTCGGCCTTGCTGTTATGGACAGGGGGATGCCCAGACACAGCATCCAACGCCTCGCTCTCGCTCAGCACAGCAGCCCATTCCTGCTCCACAAAACTATCCAGCAGCGATGCGGCGACGTTGACCTTCTGTCGGTTTACACGCCGCACCGTCTCCTTGTGGTACTCCAAGGCTGTGTGGTACAACGCACGGCCGAGGTGATAGATACGCCTCTCAATTTCATCGCGCTTTGCAGCGGCTTCTGCACTCACGCCTCTGTCTGGAAGACCCACATGAGTCAAGAAGGAAACGTGCGGATCCTTCTTGATAACCGACACGAAGTGTGGCAGCGTCGGCAGATACGACGGCATCATACTCTCGCTCTCCGTCACGCGGAGGGCGTTGTTGGCCTGCGCATCCTCGAAGCCGCATCGATAAATGCTCTCGGTCGCGGAGTCGTAGTCCTTCAGAGCGTCGATGCCTTTCCGTGTGAGTTTGTCGCGTTCTTCCGCCCGAACGGCTCTCGGGTTGAAGTAACTCCAGTCAGAGTAGCTGGAGAAGGTCGATGGGTTGTCATCGGCGTGTGTGCTCCGCAGCAGCTTCTGGAAGCTGACGATGTCTTCGCGGTGGTGCTTCTGCTGCAGACGGCGTATGTCCTGCGCTCGGCCGTCGATGCTGCTCGCCAGATTTCGGGGCAGCGGTGGGAGCAGGTGGCCGCGCCTCTCCGCAATCACGTTAGCAAGACTCACGCCATCCGCCAAGCCCCGCGAGGACTCAGAGGAGTACGGCCTCGTAAGAAAGCTGTGTGCAGTGGGGAACTTCACGAACGGGTTCTCTGATACAATCAAGTTAAACTCACCAAAGAGGAGAACTTTGAGGAGCGGCACATTTTCCTCGCACCGCCACAGCGCGTCAATGGGCGGGTACGAGCTCGGCGGCGCGAATCGGCGGAACCTGTCTTTCTCCTTGGCACCAGAAGGGTCGTGTTGGCCGCCATTGCTGCTGCTGCTGTTGCTCGAAGAATCATTAGCAGCAGGAGAAACTGATTGCGCACGATCCGTCACCGCTGATTGTAGGGCCTCGATCGCCTGCCGCACCTCCGCATCATCCTTCGGCGGTGGGTTAGAGAAGAGCAGATCAGCTGCGTTAGGCTCGCGGTGGCAGCGCAGGACAACATGCGCCTCCACGGCGTTATCAATGTAGTATTTCTTCACAAGATAAAGGAAATACTGGTACGCCTCCATCGTGGGGCATTTCGCCGCAAGGGGATCAGGCCGCTCCACTTGTTCTTTCCGCACGCTTGGCGCAAACACCGTGTCATCTACAGCCTCGAACACGTAGCGGAATGAGGATGGATAGGACAGCTTCCGCTCCGACAGTATGGCACGGTACAACAACGCCCTGTCCCATATAGAGGTGGCATCAAGAGAGCGCTCCAGCACCATCTCCTTGAACAGCTCAGCGAGGTGAAAGCGGGTGCAGGAGTCAATGTGGATCACCGGGAATTGCGGTTGCCGCTCAAAGAGATCGAGCATTCCCTGTGCTTTGGCCACCTCGTCAAGTGTCTGCTGCGCGCACCGACGCCTCCTTTCGCCAGCGAGGCGGCGGAACGAGTGCGGCGGCCGCAAAAACATTCCCGGTGGTGGGGCACCGGGCAGCCGCTCCTGCAGATCGCCCGACGCCGCGGTTCCCGCCGCTTGACTACTGATGAGGTTGCCACTGAACTTCTNCCGGGCAGCCGCTCCTGCAGATCGCCCGACGCCGCGGTTCCCGCCGCTTGACTACTGATGAGGTTGCCACTGAACTTCTTCTCCGCCGCGGCGCGCGCATCCATGTACTTGCCCTTCGCCCTGTAACAGCGGTAAAGCCAGTCGAGGTAGTCGGGCGTGTAGGCGACACGCAGCGGGCCAGGGTTGGTGATGAGTTTCTCGAAGGACTTCTCATCCTTTGCACGCACGCCACGCTCCATGCCGTAGGAAAAGTTGTGCACAGGGTTGAATTGACCACGTGTCGTGATGCCGCGCTGCTGGGCACAAGCTCCCGTTAGAGTTAAGGCGCCAACGGCCACACGGGGACATCCCAGCGGTGCGATGGTGCGTCGCCGCATCGTTTTTCTTTCTCCCTCTTTCCGTTCTCTCTCTTTCCGTTCTCTCTCTCAACCGCTCGACTCTCACACCTTCTCTCCTCTTCCTACTGCTTCTTTTGCTTTGTGTACTTCGTCACGAATGCGTGTGAAGGATGGAGTGGGATGAAGCCTCCACGATGTAGGACCCCACACCCTTTTACCTGCAAGCAGGGCAAGAAACATCACGAAGAAGGCAGCGCAGATACTAAATAACAACAGTAATAGCACATAAACATGCAAAGGACTATTGCCAATTCAAGATAATATTTCTACCTCCCTCCATATCATTGCCGTTTCTCTCCACCAAGGAACGTTGACCGTTCCGCCTTAATATAAGCAGGAACATTTCTCTACATCCGTCATACTCACCGTCTAGCGTTTGGGGTGAGAAAGAAAGTGAGAGTGAGGTTAGGATAACGACACTAACGAGGCTTCAGCAATACATACGTTGCCGTCTCCCCATCTTCCACCTTCTATTTTAAATCTCAAAGGCGACGTCGTGGTTGATGTTGCCGTCACCCATGTANACGTTGCCGTCTCCCCATCTTCCACCTTCTATTTTAAATCTCAAAGGCGACGTCGTGGTTGATGTTGCCGTCACCCATGTACACCGTCCCGTACTTGTTTGTCTCCGGCACGTGGTAGAAGACGGAGCCGACAAACTTTGCGCTCATGCCCAGGACGACATTGTGCACCGGGTCGTAGCGCAGTCGCCACACACCACCAGGCAGATCGTCGCTGATTGGAAAGAAGACGGCGTCGAGGTTCTGATCCTCCTCGAGCCGCTCCAGTCCGGACTTCTCGTACAGCAGCCCGCCCTCGTTGCGCTCAATGAGCTTCAGGTACGGGTTCTCCGCCCGCAGGTGGTAGTAGTTGCGAAGCGAGAGCGCCTCGTCGTAGGCACGGCGCAGACCCACGAAGCCGGTGTTGCGTTTGATCTCCGCCGGAAGCGTGGCGTTGCGCAGCTCGCGGTAATACGCCCCGCGTGGCGCGACGCGGCAGTGATAGTCGTGCGCCTCGATGAACAGCACGAGGCGTAGCGACTCCTTGTAGCTCGCCGTGCTGCCGGTCTGGTCGTCAATGACACGGTACTCATACGACGGGTCGCCCATGAAGGGGCCACGCAGTTTGTACATGAGCAGCTGCTTCTGCTTCGCGTTCTGCGCCTCGTCGACGCTGCGCTCCATCAGCGAGTCGGCGGTGCCGAGGTAGACGAACGAGAGTCCCTCGTCGATGGAGTAGTAGATCACCGGCGGCGCGACGAGGTCGTCGTCGAAGGCCTGCACGATAGTGTAGTCGTTCTTGTAGCCATACACCTTTCCCCACACCACCATTGTGCGGCGCTTACTCTTCTCCATGAGCAACGGCAGCGACGTCGACAGCGCAACGCGTTCGCTCGTGGAGAAGATGTGCCCGGTGGCGTGCGAGAAGGGAAAGACGTCCGCCAGAGACATGCGCTACCTAGAAAGAGCTGCACACCCACACACACACACACTTACTAAGAGCAGGCAGGGAGAGAAATAAAGAGAGAACAGCGATGCATAATGAAGACACCTGGGGGGAATGGGGAATGAGGAGCGGGCCGGGCAGCAGTCTCCGCATCGCCGCACACGCAACTCTGCAAACGAGCAAACAAGAAACCGCGGAAACTCTACGAAGGGTGCGACCCTCGCGCGTCAACGTCGGCCTGAACGGCGGCCCGCTCCGTGTCGCTCAGCAGCGACCACACATCCTGCAGCAGTACAAGAACTTCATCCCGCAGCAACTTGTCAAACGTGGCCACTTCATCCTGCAGTGCGCGTCGCTCCCCTTCAGCGAATTCGTACACCTCAGCTAGGCAATTCTGTTTGGCAGCCTCGCGCTGCAGGCCGTCAAGCCCCTTGTTCACTTCTTCAAGCGCCACGTCAATTTCAAGGGCCTCCGCGGCGACTTGCTGAGTGGCGTTATCTCGGACGATCTTGAAACGAGCTGCGAACTCGTGCAGCTCGTGGCCAAGTGCACTTCTTGAGTTGCTTGCGGGCACTTGGGAGGCGCCGACGCCCCATCTCAACTCCTTCTGTTGCTGCAGCGCCTCCTGCTCCATCAGCCCCACGCGGGGCACAACCAGCGATGCCACACGACGCTGAATGCTCTCCAAGAGCGTTGGCTCCGAGGTACACGGCTCAGGCCCCAGACCCGCCGAGCTCCGGAGTAGCGGCGGCACAATCCGCATCTGTCGCACATACGACTCGCATAATTCTGCGGCCTGCTGCTCGTACGGAGGCAGCGCAGGGGCTTTTACTACTTCTGGCTTCACGCAGAGGACCTCTTCTGCTTCCTGCCGTTGCTGCTGCTGCTGCTCGCCAGTCATTGCCTGCCCCATCGCGCCCACAGGCTGTCCCAGTGCAGCAGCTGCGACCGCTGGTAGTTTTGCTGCTGCTTCTGTTAGCGCACTATGCGGGGTATTTGTTCGTCACTAGGAGAAAAACATCATTAGAGCCCGCAAACCAGTGTGAAGGAGGGGGTTGCCACTGAATTGAGAGCAAAACCTCTTGCCTCCACGCAGACAGCACATGGAGACAAAGTACACACGCACGCGAAGCATCTGTCAAGGGAATTGAGTAAGTGGCGGTGAGCCTTCAGTCCTCCTCCCCCCACCCCACAAAGGAAGGAAAAAAAAAAAAAACAGAATAGTTCCCTGCCAACACCGCCAGCGGCTTACGCCCACACGCGAAGCACGTCACGCACACCCTTCTGGCTGATGGAGAAACAGCACTGCCCACGTGGCTGCGTGGGACTTTTCACGAGGCGTGCCACGCGGTGCTGGACGGCATTCACGACGCTGCCGCCCTCAAGCCCACCGCTTACGGGTGCCTCGATGAACACCACGTTCTCATGGCAGCTCTCTTTCTTCCCCCGTCCCGCATCGCCGTGCAGCACCGTATCGTGCTGTTGCGTGAGCAGAATGCGTGTCGCAAGACCGTACGCCCACGAGTCCCCAAGGGCGGGCACAAGGACTCGCTTAGGCTCTGACGCGTTACTCTCCACCGTGCGGCTCGTCACCTGATTGCTCACAATGACGCAGAGCTTTTTTTCTCTTGCATATCGCTGCAGTAACTGTCCGCAGCTAAACAGAAGGCGCGACCGTTGCCAAACGAGGTGCTTGGCCGACACGGAGCTGGCGTCGCCTCCAGCTTCTGCCGCCCCACCCTCCTGCTGATGACCACCAAGTTGGGTAAATGAGCGAAACGGGAACGCAATGGAGTCAATCACCACCATTCGAATCGCCGGATGAGATGTGAGATAGTCGGAAAGAACATTCAAAAATGCCATCAGCGACACCACGTCCAGTAAACGAATGTACTGCGTTTGCTGAAGAACGTAGTCCACCGTGAAGGAAGCAGCTGACGCAGCCAACGAGACACGGGCGCTCTCTGTCCGCCCTCTTTTGCGTGTTTTTGGAGAGCTCGATGCGACACCGCCAATGCTGCTGCCGCTCGAGGACGTGAGTGCCGTCGCGCCTTCGGCCTCCGAAGCTGTGACGCTTCCGCTGCCGAAACCGTCGGCCTCCTGCCGTAGAATGACACCCTTCACCTGCAACACGGCGGCGTGCACAATCTCACGGAAGCGCTCCGGCACGAAGCTTCCCTCTGTGTCAATGAACAGACATGCACCGTGCAGGCCACCCAACTCCCTTGGAAGCGCGCAGCTCACCGCGAGTTGCATCAGAAGCTGCGTCTTCCCGACGCCTGGTGGGCCGCACACCTCCGTCACGGCGCCAACCGGCACACCGCCACCAAGAAGAACATCGATGCTCTTGCAGAAGGTCGTGACTCTCTCGCTACCCTCGTCCTCCTCGAGCTCCAGCATATCCTGCAGGGTATAGATGGCAGGGGGAACGCAGTAGTCGCTCGCTGCGGGATCCCTTCCCCTATAGAGGGGTGCAACTGCCCGCAGAACTTCAACGGCTTCTTCTTGCGTGAGTTTGGGGCAACGTTGTACGAGGTCAGCAGCACTGACGCCGCGCTCTTGCAGACTATGCGCATCCACTCTCCCGCTTGCAGCGCTTCCCAGCGTTAGGCGGCAGATGTCGTCGATCCAAAGCAGACCGGCATTCTGTAGTTTTGCCTTGAGGGACGGGCGGAGAGCGCCGCAGAGCTCCACCGACATTGCCTACTTCCGCCTTCCCTTTGCCCCACCGGGAGGCGCAAGAAGAGAGCAACAACAACAAAAAAAGATGAAGCTGACCAACACTAGAACAAGAAACAATGAACATGCTACGGTGACGTGGGAAAGCGAAGCAGCCTCCTTTCTTTCTCATCCCCACATCTCAGACCCGTGAGCCTCGACCACCGCATGCACCGTCACGATCAGCTGGCCTCGTGACGGGCCCACCAGTCCACACGGAAGTAATTGTCGGCAAAATCAGCGGGAAAAGGCCAGGCGCCACGAGGTGGCAGACTCTCACACTGCAGTATCCGGCACACCAGGAATTTCCTGCTCTCCACAGCACAGTGCCGTAACGCATCGCGACACTCCACCGGCTCTGCCATACTGCCAGTTGCAGGCGCTTCCACACCAACAACGGGCCGCCACGCATTCTGAAAGCCGGCCTGCACCAACTGTCGCTGCACAACGTTGTCGAGCATCATTTGTGTGAAGAAGAGAACGAGTGGTGGCACAGAGCCACATCCATCCTTCTCTGCAAGTATGGCCTCTGTGACAAAGGCGTTGAGTGCACCATAGTCCTCTGTCGCCACCCACACAGCCATTCGTGTGACATCATCAAGCACATCTTCCATGTAGAGATGGTATGCACTCGGCTCCCCACTGATGTCCATCAGCTCCGTAATACGCCTAACCGCCACTTCAGCTGCTGCATCATTTCTCGTGTACAAGTGGTACAGAAGCTCACAAACCAGCATGACATCTCTGTCACGCAACGTGGTCGCGCCACTCGCTGTTTTGCCAAAGAAAAATGCATAGGCTTCCTCTTCACTGGTGATTGCCTCTTCGACAGTCCCCTCAAAGAGACCACAAGTGGCTGCGAACGACAGACTGCCGCTGAGCAGTTCGAGATCGTTCAAAACTGTCGCCACACACACGGACCAAACCCACACACACGCTGCCAGTCGTGTCAGCCGAACACGATCGTGTTGTGTAGTGCCGCAAAGAGCAGCCGCAGTTGCTGCTGAGGTGCAATAATGGAGAAATGACTCCTCGGAGACATCCTGACTTGTAACGTGATTTATCTGCGGCACCAATTCCTGCTTGATTGCCTTCAGTTGACTTGCAAGCCGCTCCACTTGACGAAGCGCCGCCCTCACTTCGATGGCTGGTGTGTTCTCCTCATCCGGCGAGATCCCTGCAAGAACTGCGTGCCACTGTGCTCGCACATCGGCCATGGATTCCTCCAGCAGTGCCAGCGGGCGCAGCGTAGTGGGCATGCTGCGCGTGTAGGCACGGCGTAGGACGCCAGATCCTGTGGTGTCGCCCATTCCCTACGTGCCTTCTGCACCTCCACTGAATCCTGGACCCTGCTACTGCACACAGAGGGAGAGAGCCACCCAGAGATGCGGGGGGGGGGGNGGGGGGGGGGGGGGAACAAAGAGAAAGAGACAAATGGAGAGAGAGCGCGCGCGCGCCAAAATAAGAAATACAAAGCAAACGTTTGAAAGCCACGAGACTCTTGGCAGGTATGGTGCGCAAAAACAAATGACAGTTGCTCTCGTTTCTTTGAAGACATCTCTGTTTCCACACCGAACCAGACAGAACGAGATACACAAGCAACAGGTATGATGGACATCCAAGCGCCTGAATGCTGGGTGAGTCCCACACTGCAGCCGGCGCAGGGTGCGCCCTGGAGTGTTCATCCCGCATTCCACGTACGCCACCCCTTTTTTTTCCTCAACATCTCTTATTTTTGCCTTCCATCCGTAAGGCCGGACACCGACACAGTTTTTTTTTCTGCTTTTTTTTTCT